CCATTGCACCACCAAGGTACCTTAACAAGCAATGGCTAATTGATACATTCTTTGTCCAGTATTGATTATTAAGGAATAATTCAGAAGCCAAGTGACAGAGTTAAGTAATAATGCTATATATCAAGGTACAGGTTTCCCTCACTATCCAAAAGAACATTCCTGTGAAACCTTTTCTAAACCAAAATGATGTAAAGCAAAGAAGCAATTACCATTAATACACATGGGAAAAATTTTTGAACATTCCTAGACCCCAAAAATGGCCTACCAAATCATAACAAATAACTAACATATAATGTTCACAGACACAGTTCAAAGCTTGATGCTGAGATGCTGAACGTAGTTCCCAGGGAAGGAGTTTAGCAATACCACCTTAGCTGCTTGGGGTGTGCACCGACTCTTTAAGGGCTCGCTGCAAAACAAGCTGAACGCTAGTTTAGCTTTTTCCCTTTTGTTTGTAAAAACAAAAATCCTCTTCAGATTTCTTTCGGTTAGTAGAAACAGGTTCCAATGTAGGTCCTTTGTAAGAGCAAAGTGACATAAAGTGAACTTTCAAAAAGCGGTGGATAACTTGGAATGTTCCAGGCAGAGTGTCTGCTGCCTCAAAACATATGGAGAGGAGCTATGCCCACACTTCCCCCCACCATGTGGCTTCATCAAGGTCTACAACATAAACTCACGAAGGACAATAACACCTCAACCAGCTCCAAACTCACGTGACATGGCTCTTCGCAAAGACAAAAAGGAAAAGAAAGCAGCAAATAGTTGCTCTCTGTACCAGATTCCCTTAGAGAAGCCAACTAAAGAAAACCAAAAAAACCCAATCCCACTGCCTTCGAGTGGATTCCGACTCACACCAACCCCCATTGGGCTTCCAAGGCTGTAAATCTTTATGGAAGTATATTGCCTCATCTTCCTCCTGCAGAACAGCTGGTGGGTTTGAACCGCTGACCTTCTGGTTAGCACCCAAAGGCCTTACCCACTACAACACCAGAGCTCCTTCAACTAAAGAAATGGAACACCCCCCAAAAAAAGGTAGATACTTCTATATGAATTTATTGAATAATGACTGGTTTGAATATAACAATGTGTTTTATATTAGTTTATAGAGGTTTTTTATAGAGATTTTTTATATAGATTTTTATGTTAGTTTTCAGAAATCTTTCCCAAATATGTGATTAAATATTTTTCCCTTTGGATACATATCAAGAATATAATTTGATATATTCATTTCTCAAGATTGTATTATTTAAGCAAGTTAAGAATTTTTAAATTTCTCTATAATACAAAATCCAAGGTTTTGAAATGTGCACCTGAGGTCATACATTCTTGAAAGATAATCATGCCATAGTCATCATAATTGTTTAAATTGCTAGTTCATTTTGCTGTCAATGCACAAAACTCAAGAACATGTTAAAAAAAGAGGGTCAAATTACCTAAGAGCAACTTTAAGTCTTTTAATAAAGAGTGAACAACATTACAACATAGCTTTAAATAAACTCATAAAACCTTGAAGTGCAATTAAATGCGTTTTATTGTATGCTCATTTCAATGAGAAACATTTAAAATAATAATCCCACGTAACAGTGACAATCTTATTTTACAGCGTGTACATCATTTACAGCCACATAACACACAATTTTCATAGATTTTCCAAATTTAATAGTCTGAAGTTAAGAAAGATAAAAAAATTTATTCTCAAGGAACTGATTCTTATCTGGTGCAAAAACAGAAAGATGAACATTATTTGAAACACAAAACCACAAGATAGCATGAAGTAAAATTACATATTAATTATGTTGAATAGCTGAGCGTAAACATGAAGCAACTAAAACTTTAAAAGTACACATCATATGCATTACATTTATGAACAGGGTTTTTATTAAATTTCCCTAAACCAGCTTGTTATATTAAGCGCCATTTTGATTTGCAGCATGCTAACACAAAGCGTTGTTAAAGGGATGCATATTTTAAATTTATACACTGTAAACTGAATAATCACCTCCAAACTCTCTTTGCAGCATACTGTCTGTTAAATACTGCATAAATACTGCCTTATATTGAAAATGCATGTTATAGATTTTAAAAATCAAAAATTTCAATAATGGCATAAAATTGCACCTTTAAACATTAGAGTAAGACTAGAACAATCATACTTGTTAAGACTGTTCTAAAAAATCTTTAAACATTATAATATTTAAGAAAACTGTGTTCTCTCAATTTAGTCTTTATATCTTTAGGAAATATAGTGCTGACTTTTTTGCAACATTACTGTTGCATATATTTTAGAAATCCACATTTGACTCAAATATACTCTTGTCATATATGCCATACTGAACATCAACTTGAACATCAGATAAAAGGGAAATATATATATACATATATAAATATATATATGCACATATATATATAATCCTTAGACGTCATCACAGAATGCTATATTTTAAACATTTTATCCTACAATAAAATATTAGCAGCTCTGAAATTCTTTTTTAAATAGTACTGAATTGATTTAAACTTTTCCAGTGAAACTTTTTTTAAAATTAATACACAAAACTTTCACCAGTTTTGAAATTCAACTTCCAGGTAAAATATAAAAGGTTCAATGACTAAGTGACTGATGGATGACTACATTTTATTTCCCCACCTTATTTCAAAAATTGCATAAAATTGAGGCTTGCTTGCCACATCAAGGCATTGCTAAATTCATTATGTACTCATTGTATTCTCTTTTCAGAAACATTTATCTCTAGTATGATCAGCCAAATAAAGTATATGTCTTTGCTTTTCCCTTCTGTAGTTTAACTATGCATATAATACTATTAAATAAACACTTAAGTTTACTGCAACCATTCTATGGTGCTTCTAAAATTCTTTAAGTAATTTTCGAAGGGCTATGAGATCCCCTGTCAATTCAAATATTTTAAGATCTTTAATACAAAGAATGTAAAGTTATGATTTAATATCAAGCTTTGAAACCAGATGAAACAGTTCATGAGATTTACCTCCCAATTAACATATCTTCTAAATAGCTTTTTTCTTCATATTGCTCTTACATAAGAGCCTCCTTGTGGTGCCTCATAATATGTTGATTTTTTTCTGATGGTCTTCTGAATCCCTTCTTGCAGAATTCACACCTGTGTGGATAGTCTTTTGTATGTATTGATATCACATGTCGTTTAAAGCCAGATGCATCTGTAGTGCTATATTCACAATACTCACACTGGTAGATCTTCCTTCCAGTATGGGTCTTCATATGCTTTTTGAGCTCATTTTGTTGTCTGAATCCTCTCTTACACCTTTTACACTTCAATGACTGATCCTTAGTATGAACTGAAAGGATATGACCACTAAGAATAAATGGATCTGATGTTTTAAAGTCACAGTGCCTACACTGATGAATCTTCCTACCCTTATGGATATCACTATGCTTTTTGAGCTCAGAAGGACGATGGAAACCTTTATCACAGACCTCACATTTGTGAGGAAAATCCTTAGTATGGACAGATATGATGTGCCGCTTAAGGTCACTTGAGTTGGTGCTCTTATGGTCACAATGAGGACATTGGTGTGTCTTGTGTCCTTGAAACAAATCCAGATGACGCTGAAGCTCCCTCTCATCACCAAATGCTTGAGGACAGTGCTCACATTTATATGGTAAATTGTTACCATGTTTAGACTTAATGTGAGTTTTCAGATTTGATTGATCTGCACACCTGAAGACACAATACTGACATTGATATGGCTTCTCACCAGTATGGGTTCTCATATGCTTCTTTAGTTCAGAAGGATGTCGAAAGCCCTTCCCACACTCAACACAAACATGAGGAAAATTTTTACTGTGAACAGCCAGCAAATGTCTGTTCAATAGTCCTTGTTCTGCAGTTTCATAGTCACAGTATTTGCACTTGTGCATCTTCGGCTCCTTGTCTCTTAATATAAGTTTATTTGAACTCAATGGACTAGCCTCTCTGTATCTTCGTGTGTATTCTGTAAATTCATGGGTTTTGTCAACTTTGTTTATAAGCTTATGGCTTTCTAAGTGGTTGTGGAAACTCACTTTCTTGTTTGTTGTAAAGTCACAATCTGTACACTGATATTTTTTTCTCATCAAATGATCAGGATGATTTTTCATGTGTCTTTTCAAGAATCCCCTGGATTTAAACTTTTTTGTGCAAATGTGGCAAGGGTATACTGTCAAGGGCTGTCCATCAGGACCTATTATAACAGCTAGATAGAAAAAGGAAGTTATAACATTTGGTCAAAGACTATGTTAAAAGGCTTTATAACAAAGGTACTAAATTTAGCTGACACTGTGTGAGAACTATAAAATTCCGTAAGATAAAAATGTACTTTAAAAGCAATTTATGATAAACTAGCTCACTAAAAAGTAATGATCAGCATTCTATTATGGGGTTCATCTGCCAAAATGTTTTATCACATGCACTTTGAAAACCAGAAACAGATGTCCTTTACTGTTGAATCAACCTGAAAATTCTCCTTAAAAACATCTTTGGAGTAGAAAGGCAAACATTTTACTAAATACCAGTCACATACTTAAAAAAAAATTACCTATATCATACACACACAGAACACTGGAGTAGGAACTACACTGCAACTTATTAGTTCTTTAGTTACCAAAAAAAAAATACATATTTCAAATCATTATAATGTTCATAAAACAAAAACTGTTACCTGTTTGCCACTGCCTGGTTTCTCCCCTTCTCCTCTTCTTGGCTTTTTGTTTAAGTACTTTATTCGTATTAATGCTATCACAAATTTGAAGGTACTGTGCTGCTGTGCTACTTCTGTTTTCTAGTGCTGAGTCCAAACTATTTCCTAAAAAAAATTGATACATCATTAAATTACATATATTTTATCTTTGTAGGTTTTGATTAGATGAGTTACTAGAGATAGCATAGCACCAAGTTGCCCTTGTGGTAGTAAATTTTACAAAGTATGCTCATATTCATATTCTCTCTCTCTCTTTCTCACACATACACACATATCCATGCAAACACCTTGAAGAACATATTACCTGAAATTAACTTTAAAACGTCTCAGTTTTTTCACCCTGATGGAATAAACTGATAAGGTGAATTAATATAAGATAAACACAATCTTGGCATTAGACCAATTTCTGACCAATGAAGGCTGATGAAATTAAAGAGATTTTGGAGGAAAAAATAAGTACCTCATCAGTGAACCAATATCATCATGGTGACTATGTGTAATATGTAACAAATAGAACATCTCTTCTATATATGCTTTAGAATAGTTTCCTTGCTTAATTTTGGGGTTAAAATAGATGTGGCAGACAATTTACCACAATTTTAGATGGATCAGTGCATGCAGAATAGTTACTCCTAAAATCCAAGTTCTTTGAGGTATGTTTTAGAGTTATACAATTTAGTATAGAAATGTAGACCTACAAAAATGTCAGTTTAGCATACATCTTATGATGTATGCCTCTCATCAATTTCTCTCAACTCTACATTTAAGTTTAGAGGATCAAATAGTTTCCAAGGGCAGACACAGAAAGTTTCTTTGCTTAAGGGAAAAAAAGAACTATCAACAGAATAATACTATAAGTAGTTTATTAAAACAAAAAAATTAAGCTGACACATGAGTTTTATACTAACAGTTATAAAATCTAATACTTGCCAGAAAAATTAAGAACCACAACTCTATCTCAAGAAAGACTTTAAAAAATGGTTAATATCCTGGCAATTTTTATTTTTCTATGAAGTAATTTCTATTTTATAATTTTTTCATACCAAGCTTTTATGTACCTTGAGATAAGTTGCCTGATACTTGCATCTTGAGGCAAATCTAAAATGAGCTGCATCCACAGATGAACACACATTAAGTCTGTGTATAAATGAATCAATTATGAAAAGAGGCAAACACCTATGTAATTAACTAGTTAGGTCTGACCAGGCAAGAGTCCAAGCAATGTGTCTGTAGACACAAACTAATTGCTCTTCATTTACCAAGTGGTGTGGAACCAGATATTTAACTTATATTCCATATATAATGCTCTCTCACCTGATGCTTGACAATCTTCATACCTTCGGGAAACTCTTCTTTCATCTCCTAAAAAAAAAAAAAGAGTAATTCAAAAACAGATATGCTGATTATGATGATCATAAGTGGACCACATCTTAATCTACAAAATCTTACTTTGACCACCATTCCTTCGATTAAAATGTTTTTGTTGAGTTCTTCCATATTCATAGATTATGGAATTTCATACACACTGAAAATAAGGGCTACTGTCAGCATCCTTGGAAATGTTACCATCTAGAACAGTTTTACTTTAAATGAAAACTGGGTAGACATTTCTGCAGAGTATCCCCAACATTGAAGATGCTCTATAAATGACTGGTGAATGAATGAACCTTGAAGAGAACCAAATTAAGATAAATTAATGCATTTGAACACCAAATTTTTTTCAAATGAAAGGGTATGCCTGGACTATATATCCATTAACTAGGAATGAGATAGAATAAACAGATAGGAAAATATATATTTGATAAATTTACCTTCCATTGCATACTTTCTAAAAGTGCACACCTGGATTTCCATTATTTTTCAGAATCTGAAAATCTTATTATCTCTGGCTTTAATACATGAAATTAGTTTTTTTTCCAAAAGGGGAAGAATCCATTTTTAAGGCATATTCCTATTTTAGAAAATAAAACTTTTTATGGCACTTGCTTATTAAGGTAGGATTTAAAATAGACCCTATTGAAAAACACAATGCATTAAGCAAGATCCGTTTTTAAATAATACCAGCTATGTGGTAGGAGAGGCATGTCAAGTAACTAGAGATTAATTAGTCCACATTAAAACATTTTATTATATTAGCCAATTCATGGTGGCATTAGCCACCAATTAACAAAGGCTAATCAAATACATGTTATGTACTTATCGGGTGAAAAAATACCAGTGTCCTACCATATGCCGCAGCCCAGACAACAGGGACAACTGTTTTATTAACATCAGAGTCCTCAAGCTGTGTCTCAGGGAGAGAAGTTCCTTCCTCTTCCCCTACAATGACTTCCATGTAAACTTCATCTGCTATTTCAGCGCAACCTAAATTTTAGAAATAATTGTTTGTTTATAACCCCAAGTATTTAATAGATGGGAAAAAATTCCAAACAATTTAAATCTTTCAGCTGTCAAGATTTCAATTTGGTTAATTAAAAAATATATATATTGGGCACTTTCTGAGGCTAGTGCCATTAGGAGATAATCATTTAAGAAAGCCCTTATTCTTCTTCTAATCCTACATGCTATGAAAGTGGAATTTTGATTATACAAAACTTGTGCGCTTGAAATACACTGACTGATTTTACAGTCCATTAGGCATTACTAGTTTATAAAGAGTTGGTATTTCATAAGTTTGCCTGACAGCTCTTTGATACTCAGAAAGAATTTCCCATAGAAACAATACTAGAAAGTGGTCCATGTTTTCCCACATACTGTACATGAAATCGAGTATTGTATATATAATAAAAAGTCAAATACTAACAATTGAAGAAATTTTAAAAAATATCATATATACATATGTATAATAACCTTGAATGCTAGTGCCCAAGAATATGTTGACAACCTTCAAGCAGCAGGATTTTACAAGAGAACTTACTAAAGAAAAAAAAAAGTATTAAGTGAGGTTCATTTGAAAAAAAACTAATATTATGGTAAACTGAAAAAACCAAACCCACTGCCATTGAGTCAGTTCTGACTCATAGTAATCCCCATTGGGTTTTCAAGGCTATAAATCTTTATGGAAGTAGATTACCCCATCTTCCTCCTATGAAGCAGCTGGTCGATTTGAACTGCTGACCTGGTTAGCAGCCAAATGCCTTACCCACTACACCACCAGAGCACCTTAGTATTATGGTAGCTAAAAAATTGTAAACCTAGATATCCACTTAATATATTTATGTGAAATAATCTATCTAAATATAACCTATTAATTTTTTTAAAATAATTGCTTGAGTGTATGCTTTCTATCTGTACACTGAGATAGTCTATTCACTACAGATTGAAAACGTGGTGGTGGTGGTGGGGAGAGTATCCACCTTCTAAGCTTCCCTTCTTCCATAAATCAGAAAGATACACTGGTCTAAATTTTTGACAGCCCCGCAGAGTTTTGGTTTTAGGTAATCTAAGCTTCAGTCTCCCACTTCCTACTGGGCTCTTTTCCTTACCAGTAAGTAAAAATAAAGAACATAGAGACCAAACAGAAATTCTGTCCTTCAACCCTTTCCCTAGAGTTGGAATTCAGCTTCCCATAGCTTCTAGGGAAGGAAACCTGAGGACTAAGGATCAAAGTGCAGCACAGGTAAACTCCACACTGGCAAAGTAATGCAGGCAAGTGGAGTCTTTGCCCTTCTAGAACGAAACCAAGTAGTGTTTGTCTCAACAATGAAAGACGGCTAAAGTAGCCTTAGAGCCTGTTTTCCTACACAGAGGTGAGAAGAAAGTAGGCAGAGTGGAAAAAAAATATCTTCATAAGGAAAGTGTAACATGGCAGGAAAGGAAACCTAAGGACCTTTATTCACACTGTGGTACTCAGTCCTAGAAAAGCAGCTACCTGGCATCCATTAACAGCATAGTAAATAAAGGTCCTGGTAGCATGGCTTGGAATAATACTTGGTCAGCTAACCTCTAAGTGACAAAAAGAGAACAACTAGTTAACCCTTTCACCACTGAATCCAGAGACAGCCAACAGTGCTCACTGTCACGCAGAAAGAACACTGGTTGTGAAGTTAGACAGATATGAGATCAAATTCTGTCTACTCTACATATTATCAGAATGATTGGACAATTCCTTAACTTTCCTGAGCCATTTTTCCTTCCATAAAACTGATTATACCATGAACTTTGGAGATGAGTTGTGAGAAGTAAATGAAATAATATATATGCAACACAACCAATAATGCCTGGCCAAAAGCAGGTACTGAATAATCATATATTTGTGAGTTCCTCTGAGGTCAGGAACTGTGCATCTCTGCATTTCTCAGTATAATATCAGACAAATAATATTTCATGTTTGCTGATTTTAGCAATACATGTATGAATAAATGGTCAATAGGACTCTTCCTCTTTAAATTATTTACAGAAAAGGGTCAGGTTTATTTTATTGAACTTTGTTCCTAAATAGTGCTTGTACCACTGAGATTGCTATTTAAAAAAAAAAAAAAGAATGCATGATGATTGCTGACAAGTCACTACAGCGCCTTTTAATGATCTTACTGATATCATCTTCTTGAGAAGAATCTTTAACTGCCATGTAAACCATCTTCTCCCGCTGCATTCGGCTCTGGTCAAGCACTCCAGCTACAGAATGTCCATTGGTGTACTCACTCTCTGTGACAATTTCTGTTCCACCTTAAAAATTAAAATACATATCAAAATTGAGAAGTATCATGAAATAACTCCCTAAAATAATAAGGATTGCATATAATAAAACATTTGAAAATGAATTTCAAAATGTCAAGAAAATTGGCATATATATTAAACTTTAAATTCTCAATCATCATTGATAAAAAATAACAACTGCTAACACATATCACACTTCTATGCCAAGCACTCTATAAATCTTTAAGATTCTTGGGTGGTGCTAATGGTTTACACTTGACTCCTAACTGAAAGGTCCAAAGTTTGACTCCACCCAGTGGCATCACAGAAGAAAGGCCTAGTGATCTACTCCTTTAAGATTACAGTCATTGAAAGCCCTACTGACATGGGTCACTATGAGTCAAAATTGACTCAAAGGCAATGGGGTTTTTTTTAGGTATTTTACTTATATTTATCAATTTAATCCTCACAACAGCCCTATGAAATATGTCTCATTACAGTCATTTTATAGATGAGGAAACTGAGGCATGGGGAGGTTGAATAACTCACCAAAGATCACTCAGCTAAATGTCAGAACCAGGATTAAAACCCAAGTAGTTGGCCTCTTGAATCCACACTCTTAAAACATTCACTATATTTGTCTACTCTAAACCAAAGCCTCTCCACTCACTTGTTTTGATATGTTCAGCTGCAGTATACTGCTTATATTTGAAACAATCTATGAATGATATATTCTACACTCTTGTCTTGTATTCAAATACATTTTTATACACTTAGTCCCAAAGAAACCTGTATAAAAAAAATCTGTGCTTTGAAAATAATTTCAGAATATACACTAGGAATGATAAGCATCGGTTCTAATACTTAACTATTACAGAAATAAATTAGTCTTTGTACCTATTTCGACATCATCTTCAGCCTCAGCTTTAAATATATACACTTTTATTACTTCTGAACCAAATTCATCTTCTTTAACATCTTGTGAGCCATCACTGCCGATTTTTAATGGTGTGTTTCCCATATGTTCTAGTTTCTCTCCAACATCATCCACTGTAAAATATAAAGAGGGAAACTATGTCACTCAGAAATTACCAATGACATTTGGTGGGTGTTCAGGCAGAAGTGCAATGTGAAATGTGTCAACCACCTACCAATTATATTCACTTGATTATCCATTAAGTAGCTATTAGAAGTGTTACATTTCATGAAAAAAATAGTATACAAGATCAGATATACTACATGATCATAATTACATAAAACCTATTCAAAGATGACAATTTATATATACGAAATATTCAGTAATCATATAGCTTTAAATAAATCTATTTGGGAATAGATTAAATAATCTCCCAACAGTTTATTTTAAACCCCAACACCAAAATTAAGAACAGAATAATTGTAAGATAAAATACATACTATCCATAAAATGAGCTCATATAAATAGTTCCCAGATTAAA